CCAGTCCCACTAACACCCAGGATCGACACACACTATCCCTAACACCCCGGGTGCCACCCACACCATCCACAAAAACCCAGGACATCCACACCCCCCTAACACCCAGGATCGACACACACCCCGTTTTTTCCGAGTTTACCCGGAGGATTTCGGGGGGCAACGCCCCCCCGGGCCCCTCTGTGACCAGGCCTCCTGGGGATCACGCCTATAACCAGGCTGTTGCTGCGGCTCCACAACACCCAGGAGCGACACGCACTATCCCCAACACCCCTATGCCACCACACCTCCACAACCCCCCAGGGGCCACCCACACCATCCACAATACCCAGATCCACCCACATCATCCACTAACACCCAGATGCCACCCACACCATCCACTAACACCCAGGTCCTCCGCACCGTCCACAACCCCAGGGTGTGACACACACCAGCCACTAAACACCCAGGACCCCCAACGCCATCCACTAACACCCAGGGTGCGACCACACCAGTCCACTAACACCCCGGTCGACACACACTAGTCCCTAACACCCAGGGTGCCCCCCACACCAGTCCCAACACCCAGGGTGCCACCCAACCAGTCCACTAAAAACCCGGATCCACCCACAATCAGTCCACTAACACCCGGGGCCACCCACCCCCCAGTCCCCTAATACCCAGGATGCCCCCACATCAGTCCACTAACACCCAGGGTCCCCCCCCACCAGTCCAATAACACCCAATGCCCCCACCCAGCCACTAACCCCGGATCCACCCACACCAGTCCCCAACACCCGGGGCCACCAAACACCTTCAACTAACACCTAGGGTGCCCCCACCCACCACCACACCCCCAACCACCCCCCCACCAGTTCACTAACACCCGGGGCCACCACAAAAAGTCCCAAAAACCCGGATGCCACCCACAAACCATCCACAACACTCAGGAGCCCCCCAAACCCCCCACTAACACCCGGATGCCACCCCCAACCATTCCCTAACACCCAGGATCCCCTCCGCACCATCCACTACACCCAGATGCACACCACCATCCACTAACACCCAAGCCACCATCCCCCAGTCCCTAACACCCAGGTGCCACCCACCCAGTCCACTAACACCCAGGGAAACACTCACACCAGTCCACTAACCCCAGGATGCGACAAACCCCAGTCCCCTAAAAACCCAGATCAACCACAGCCTCTAAACACCCCCGGTGCCCCCGCACCACCACCACAAACCCAGGGTGTCAAACCACACCATCCCCCAACACCCAGGAAGCCACCCCCACCAGTCCACTAACCCCGATACCACCCCCCACCAGTCCACAACACCCAGGAACACACACCACCACCACTAAACCGAGGGTGCGACACGCACTATCCTCTAACACCCGATGCCACCCACACCATCCACTAAAACCCCCGACCACCCACCATCCCAAACACCCCCGGGTGAAACCCCCACCAGCCACTAACACCCAGGATGCCACCCACACCATCCACTAACACCCTGGGTGCCCCCCACACCATCCACTAACACCCAGGTATAAACCCCCCCCTCCACTAACACACTGAAGCCACCCCCCACCAGTCCACAACACCCAGATCCACCCACACCAGTCCAATAACACCCGAGCCACCCACACCATCCACAACCCCAGGATGATCCCCACCAGTCCACAACACACGGGGGGCCACCCCCCACCACAAAAAACCCAGGGTGGGCACAACCATCCCTAAAACCCCCGGATTTCCACCCACACCATCCACTAAAAACCCGGAGCCCCAACACCAGTCCACTAACACCCGGATGCCACCCACACCAGTCCAATACACCCAACCCCCACACCCGCCACTAACACCCAGGATGCGACCACACCCGTCCACAAACCCAGGATACCCCCACAACCCTCCACTAACACCCGGAGCGCAACACCAGTCCCCCTAACACCCAGGATGCCACCCCCACCATCCCTAAAACCCCCTAAAGCCACCCACACCATCCACTAACACCCAGGATCCACCCCACCATCCACTAACCCCGGGTCCACCCAAACCAGTCCACTAACACTCAATCCTCCACACCATCCACTAACACCCCGGGTCCCCCCACCCTCCAAAAACACCCAGAATCGACACCACCAGTCCATAACAAACCCGGATGCCACCACCAATCCACAACACCCGAGCCACCCACCCATCCACAAAAACCCAGGAGCCACCCACACCAGTCCAGTAAAACCCCCCGGATGCCCCCCACACCACCACTAAACCACCCCGATCCACCCACACCCCTCCAATAACACCCAGGGAGCCACCCACAGCATCCACTAACACCCGGAGCCACCCCACACATCCCTAACACCCAGGATGCTAAAACAACCAGTCCACTAACACCCAGGGGTGCCCCCCACCAGTCCAAAACACCCAGAAAGCGACACAAAACCAGTCACAAACACCCAGTGCCCCGCACACAAATCCCTAACACCCAGGAGCCATCCACACCATCCACTAACACCCCTATGCCACCCCACCAGCCACAAAAACCCCGGACCACCCACACCAGTCACAACCCCCAGGATATACCCCCACCCGTCCACTAACACCCAGGATGCCAACCCACACCAGTCCACAACACCCGGATGCCACCCCACACCATCCCCCTAACACCCAGGGCCCCCCACACCATCCCAACACCCAGGATGCCACCCACACCAGTCCAAAAACACCCAGGAAAACCCCCCCCACACATCCACAACACCCAGGATGATACCCCCCCAGCCACTAACACACTGGATGCCACCCACACAGTCCACTAACCCCAGATGCGACACAGACATCCCCTAACACCCAGGATCCACCCACCCATCCACTAACACCCAGGGTGCCACCAACACCATCCACTAAACCAGGTCCACCCAAACCCCCAAAAACACCCAGGATGCCACCCCAAAACCCGTCCACTAACACCCAGGAGCGACACACACCAGTCCCAAAACCCAGGATACCCCCCCCACCAGTCCACTAAAAACCCAGGTGGACCACCCATCCACAACACCCAGGATGCCACCCACCCTCCACAACGCCCAGTACACCCACACCATCCACAACACCCAGGAAGCCACCCACACCATCCACTAACACCCAGGGGCACACACACCCCCACAACACCCCGGAGCCCCGCACAAGTCCCCTAACACCCAGGGTGCCACCCCCACCCGTCCAAATAAACCCAGGGGGCCCCCAACCATCCTAAAAACCCAGGATGCCACCCACACCATCCACTAACACCCAAATCGAACACACCAGTCCACTAACACCCAATGCCACCACACAAGTCCCAACACCCCCGGATGCCACCCCAAACCATCCACTAACACCCCGGTCCACCCACACCAGTCCAGTAACCCCAGGGGCCACCCACACCATCCCAAACCCAGGATGCCCCCACACCATCCAAAACACCCAGGGGCCACCCACAGCAGTCCACTAACACCCAACGCCACCCAAGCATTTTCCCCTAAACCCCCAGGATGCTACACACAAACCCCGTCCACAACACCCAGGAGCCACCCACACCATCCATTTAAAACCCAGTAGCCCCCACAAACCCTCCACTGAAAAACCCCCGGGGGGCCCCCCACACATCCACTAACACCCAGGAGCCACCCCACACCAGTTCACTAACACCCAGGATGCCACCCACACCAGTCCACTAACACCCAGGATGCCACGCACACCAGTCCACTAACACCCAGGATGCCACCCACAACCATTCCACTAACACCCAGGATGCCACCCACACCAGCCCACTACACCCAGGATGATATCCACACCAGTCCACTAACACCCAGGATGATATCCACACCAGTCCACTAACACCCAGGATGACACCCACACCAGCCCACTAACACCCAGGATGATATCCACACCAGTCCACTAACACCCAGGATGACACCCACACCAGTCCACTAACACCCAGGTACCTACTTGGGCTTACACTTTTTACCCTGTAAATGAATGATGCAGGATGATGAGTGATGCAGGATGATGAGTGATGCAGGATGATGAGTGATGCAGGATGATGAGTTATCGTAAAGGGTTCTTAATGGAGATATCGTAGGTTAAGGTAGACACACTTGTAGGATGGTAGCTATATTGTCAGACTGAGATGAGGAATGGAGCCCAGTGCCTTGCCTGTCTACGCCTGGATGGTCTGCCGCCGAGTGAGAGCGGGACAGAGGGATGTGGCCTGCACATGTGTATCCCGTGACGTCACACAAAGCACAGGCCTACAAGGGGTCTCGTATCTAAAGCATATGGATGATACTACTATGCTATCCTATATCCTACAGGGAATACAGGGATCAGCAACTATGCTGACAGAGTGATGCAGGATGATGAGTGATGCAGGATGATGAGTGATGCAGGATGATGAGTGATGCAGGATGATGAGTGATGCAGGATGATGAGTGATGCAGGATGATGAGTGATGCAGGATGATGAGTGATGCAGGATGATGAGTGATGCAGGATGATGAGTGATGCAGGATGATGAGTGATGCAGGATGATGAGTGATGCAGTTGTCACTCTGACCTTTTTTAGGTTATCTTAGATAATTTAGAACCCTGTTCCTTGATCAGCGTCGAACATTTCAATACCCAGCATTAACATATCCTTGTTGGCAGGTCAGGTGAGGTATTTCTTTCAGTAAGTTAATTAGGTACACATGAGTAAAAGTTATTTTACTTACTAAAACAAAGGTTAATGCCGTCTGACTGCCAACACGGATTGTTATGGTAGTGTGTGTGAGACAACTTCCGACGCTGATTAAGGAACAACATCCTGCTAAGACTACACTTTCGACAGCACGATAACATCCGCTAGACAACTAATGCAGTAGCGTCGTCAGTTTTTGCTGTACTCTCCTTACACGTTAGTGTTGCTGTGCTCCCTCACAGTACAGTGTTGCTGTGTTCTCCTAGTACACAGTATTGTTTGTGTTTCTCATCACTGTACAGTCTTGCTGTTTTCTCCTAGCACACATTATTGCTGTGTTCTAGCACACAGTGTAGCTGTGTTCTAGCACACAGTGTAGCTGTGTTCTCCTAGCACGTAGTGTTGCTGTGTTCTAGCACAAATTGTTTGTGTTCTCCTAGCACACAGCGTTGTTATGTTCTCCTAGCACACAGTGTTGCTGTGTTCTCCTAACAGTGCAGTGTTGCTGTGTTCTCCTCACAGTACAGTGGTGCTGTGTTCTCCTCACAGTACAGTGTTGCTGTGTTCTCACAGTACAGTTTTGCTGTGTTCTCCTCACAGTACAGTGTTGCTGTGTTCTCCTCACAGTAGTGTTGCTGTGTTCTCCTCACAGTACAGTGTTGCCGTGTTCTCGCAGCATGGTGGGACGAGGACTTACAGTTTGGTGCTTACTGTCACTCTGGTTGTCACTACACTACTACACCAGCTATGTCTCCAGCCTAGTACACCTCGTCACAGGTACTTACGTCTTTTACATAGTACACCACGCCATAGGTACTTATGTTTCTTATCTAGTACACCACGTCACAGGTATTTATGTCTCTTACCTAGAACACCACGTCACAGGTACTTATGTCTCCAGCCCAGTACACCACGTCACAGATACTTATGTCTCCAGCCTAATACACCACGTCACAGGTACTAATGTCTCCAGCCTAGTACACCACGTCACAGGTACTTATGTCTCCAGCCTAGTACCCCACGTCACAGGTACTTATGTCTCCAGCCTAGTATACCACGTCACAAGTACTTATATCCCCAGGCCAGTACACCACGTCACAGGTACTTATGTCTCCAGCCCAGTATACCACGTCACAGGTACTTATGTCTCCAGCCTAGTATACCACGCCACAGGTACTTATGTCCCCAGGCCAGTACACCACGTCACAGGTACTTATGTCTCCAGCCTAGCACACCACGTCACAGGTACTTATGTCTCCAGCCTAGTACACCACGTCACAGGTACTTATGTCTCCAGCCCAGTATACCACGTCACAGGTACTTATGTCTCCAGCCTAGTATACCACGTCACAGGTACTTATGTCTCCAGCCTAGTATACCACGTCACAGGTACTTATATCCCCAGGCCAGTACACCACGTCACAGGTACTTATGTCTCCAGCCTAGTACACCACGTCACAGGTACTTATGTCTCCAGCCTAGTACACCACGTCACAGGTACTTATGTCTCCAGCCTAGTACACCACGTCACAGGTACTTATGTCTCCAGCCAAGTATACCACGCCACATGTACTTATGTCCCCAGGCCAGTACACCACGTCACAGGTACTTATGTCTCCAGCCTAGTACACCACGTCACAGGTACTTATGTCTCCAGCCCAGTATACCACGTCACAGGTACTTATGTCTCCAGCCTAGTACACCACGTCACAGGTACTTATGTCTCCAGCCCAGTATACACGTCACAGGTACTTATGTCTCCAGCCTAGTATACCACGTCACGGGTTTACTTATGTCTCCAGCCTAGTATACCACGTCACAGGTACTTATATCCCCAGGCCAGTACACCACGTCACAGGTACTTATGTCTCCAGCCTAGTACACCACGTCACAGGTACTTATGTCTCCAGCCTAGTACACCACGTCACAGGTACTTATGTCTCCAGCCTAGTACACCACGTCACAGGTACTTATGTCTCCAGCCTAGTATACCACGCCACATGTACTTATGTCCCCAGGCCAGTACACCACGTCACAGGTACTTATGTCTCCAGCCTAGTACACCACGTCACAGGTACTTATGTCTCCAGCCCAGTATACCACGTCACAGGTACTTATGTCTCCAGCCTAGTACACCACGTCACAGGTACTTATGTCTCCAGCCCAGTATACCACGTCACAGGTACTTATGTCTCCAGCCTAGTACACCACGTCACAGGTACTTATGTCTCCAGGCCAGTACACCACGTCACAGGTACTTATGTCTCCAGCCTAGTATACCACGTCACAGGTACTTATGTCTCCAGGCCAGTACACCACGTCACAGGTACTTATGTCTCCAGCCTAGTACACCACGTCACAGGTACTTATGTCTCCAGGCCAGTACACCACGTCACAGGTACTTATGTCTCCAGCCTAGTACACCACGTCACAGGTACTTATGTCTCCAGGCCAGTACACCACGTCACAAGTACTTATGTCTCCAGCCTAGTATACCACGTCACAGGTACTTATGTCTCCAGGCCAGTACACCACGTCACAGGTACTTATGTCTCCAGCCTAGTACACCACGTCACAGGTACTTATGTCTCCAGCCCAGTATACCACGACACAGGTACTTATGTCTCCAGCCTAGTATACCACGTCTCCTACGCAAGCCTGAGAGCTTTCCGTATCCGTCATAAACAAATGCAGCACAATCCCTATCTGTTCTCCAGAGAGGAGCTGTACTGTTTCAGAACTTGTGAGTATGTTGCATTCTTTCTCCACCTCATACATTACGTCCTTTTTCTCACCCCTGTACTGGTGGAAACACTGGGGTGTGTTTTTATTAAGAACCTGCAGCCCTGTTTACTTAACTGTTAGTAGGTATCCTGGCGTTAGTCGGCTGGTGTAGGAATCGCATCCTGAGAACAAAATTAAACCTAATTTGCCGGAAATGCTCTGTATAACAAGAATTTCTATATAGTAGTTTGTCACTGATGCCAGCTATGGTCTGTATACGTTGTGTCATGTATTGTGAAATAAAGGCTGTTATTATTAAGATTATATTTTTTCAATATTATTGAGGTCTCTCACGCCTTCGCACTCTGTGATACCTTTCCTCGACAAATGTCTTACAAGACAGTTGTCAATCATCCAGGAACAAAAACGAAACCTTGTCATACAATAAGATGGTCGTCATGAGAAAGGAAGATTTATTTGTCATTTTAGATGTTCTTAAGAAAGATTTACCTGTCATCTTACGTATTCATGAGGAAGATATAATCTTTCCAGTTAATGAATGATAATCACTCTCGTTTCCATACCAAGGATGGTTGTCATCCCTCAGGCAGCAGCGTTGTTTACCTTCTTCCTCACTAAAAAGAATTCACACTCGGAACTTAATTAAGTTTACCACATTTACATTGCTCATCGACCCCTCGACTCATCGACTGATTACCTCAAACTCCTCCTCATCTTCCACCTTCCTCTGCATTGGACTGAAGAAGCCACTGGCTGGGAAAGCATTTCCAGAATAAGATACCCAGATGTCGCACATGTGTTTAATTCATCAAAACATGTTAAGTCCCAGGGTCAGTTGTTGGCCCAGGTGTACAATGTGACAGCAGGTGTATACTCAATCGACCAGTGACTGCTGGCTGCCCACCAGTACTGTATATGGCAAGAAAGAACATTGTTACAAGTATTTTACACTAGCCAAATATCCCTCTAGTTTCTTTAGTACTAACCACAGTAGCTGGAGATTTTTAGATTTTGCCACCGAAGTGGCTAGTTTATTGTGCACCCCATATCCATCCTGTGGACGGTAGCGCGAGAGCATGTGGATACACAAAAGGCCTAGGAACTAGGCCCCAAAAAGGGTTAACAGGAATACATATGGATTTATATCTACATATCTATAGTTCACTTATCTGTTACAAGCAAATTTAGGAAATTTGCTTAGTATATCTGGTATCTTATTTTCATTAATAAGATATCTTGACATGTCACATAGGTTATTATACTGTCTGTCTCTGTATTCCTCAATAAGTGGACAATTAAGCACATAGTGTTCAAGAGAGTGACCATATGCCTGATCACTTTAATTTACATTTAGTTTGATCATCATCTGTGTGTCTCCCAAACTGCCAGAAGTACTTGTAACCAAGCCTAAGCCTGGCCACTACAACATCAGCCAGTCTGTTCACATTGCAAGTTGCTCCATAAACATACTTATCTACGTTCATGTTATCATAGTGGGTTATTGATCTACTCAGGCTTCTAACTGTATTCCTATAACAATCATCTTCATTATTTACTTCTCTCCTAATATTATTCCTAATGCTAGACACAGTTATACCAAAGTTATATTTACGTTTCCTTCTGGATACTCTTCTTGGCTAAACATATCAACTTTATCATGAAGGAGTAATTCCAATGTGTGATGGGATCCATAGCAATTGTACATTAATTCCTTTGTCCCTAATTTTTGAGTATCTATACCTGGCTTCCCAATGAGCATGTTGTTGGAGTCATTATATGAGCCAAGAGCCTTCATTGATGACATAGAATCAGTAATGTTTGATAGAGTCAAGCTCAGTGTCATAGGTTAGCTTTAGCGCCATTAGGATTGCAAACAATTCAGTTTGCAGTGTAGGGCGCCCAGTTGTTAATTCTTATGCCTAACTCAACAATTTATTATCGTTCTTAACTAGGAAGGTGGCAACAAGAGCAGATGCAGCCCTGCCAGAAGACTCCTGTTTAGATCCATCAGTGTATATAACTTGTGTTAGCTGGAGGTGGTGAAGCTCATTAGAAATTTATATTTAAATATGCTTTGTTATTTGAAAAAATGTCTTTCCAATGATAATAAAATTGATCATTCTTTTCTTATTTCAGACCACCCACAAGAGCAACAATCTTCCAGCATGTCAGCACAGTCTCCACTCAACCCACAAGAACAGAAAGGAAACACGAACTGCCACAGTACCTACTGTCAAGGTTGTTATGTTGTGTTACCCTTGCTGGTATGCACTATGTTGTTGGCGGTGATATGCCATGGAATCAGTTCATGTCGCCACAAAACCAGCTTGGCCAACGCCGGCGTGGCCAATAATTGCCTCACCAACGCCGACTTAAACAACAACGATACTAACAACGCCAACTTGGCCAGCATCCGCTTTACCAACACCGGTCTGACCACTGCACCACCTACCATCCTCCACCAGGAGACGTTACAGTTCTCTCACTTCCGGAACAACAATGCATCCTCAACATACCATTTTCAGGCTCAGCGAAATAATTCCTCGCCAAATCTACGTAGGCCTTGGCGGCGCCCTTGTCAGTTTCCGGCAGCTGGTTCACTTCAAGAACCTTTTATAGAGCATGAGGAACCTGAGCAGAACTCACACAAGCAGATGGAAGACAACAATAGCCTACACGATAGCTTTAATAGTATTTATGAAGGTTTTTAGAACTTAATGTAAGAACTGAGGGTTGCATCTTGAGACAGAACCTGAGACAGGAACAGACATAAGCCACATGCTTAGCTTTCTTAAGTTACCCTGGAGTTTAAACCTCGAGGATTAATATTACCAGGTAATTTTAGTAATTTAGTAATTTTAGCATACATACAGAGGTACAAAAAAAAATACAGGTAAGAGCAGCAAGCCAAAGCCACTTATATGCATAGCATTACGGGCTGGCTTAAAATTAACTTAAGATTAACTAAGCAATGATGGAATCAGTGTAAAACACTTTTGGAGTAACATCCCTGGTAAACATGCTGGGTCCTCTTGGGTGCATTTGTGTAAATTCGCTGGGTACTGTTGGTGTGTACTTTGGGTAAAACTTGTTGGGTTTGGTTAACTTGTGGTATAAGGTGAGGTAACAGGCTAGTTAAAATTTTGTGTTATGTCTTGTAAAATTATGGGGGTAAATTTTCTGGGGTTTTGAATAATGCTTAACACTGTTAAATTGCTGGGGTGGATATGTGTGTGTCATCTTGACACTTTTTGGTAAAAAAATTTTATCCTCTGGGTCACTTGAAGGGGAAATTTTTTAACCTTGGGGACCTGGGGTGACCCGGTAGTGATAATGATGGGTTAAAATTTTGGTTAAATAATTAAATTTTTTACATTTTAAACATTAGTTTTAAATTTTGGGTGACCTCTAGTTCCTCGGGTGACAAAACGAGGAACATGCTGGGGAACACTGCTGGTGTAAACCACTGGGGGTGAACCACTGCGGGTGAAACACTGCTGGGTGACCGCTGGGGGGGAAAAATGCGGGGTTTAACACTGCTGGGGAGCATTGAAACGGGTGGGTAAATTTGGTGGGTGATTGTGGGGACCACTGTGGGGAACACCTGCTGGGTGCCTTTTTCTTGTTCATGCTTTAACCATGCTGGGTGAACATGCTGGTGAACACGGGGGGGTGAACACTGTGGGGGTAAAACCCGCTGGGGTGAACACCGCTGGGTGAACACGGGCTGGGTGACCATGCTGGGTGAACACTGCTGGGTGACCATTGCTGGTAAACATCTGGGTGAACATGCTGGTGAACCACTGCTGGGTGAACCACTGGGGGTTTGACATGCTGGGTAAAACACTGTTGGGTGAAACACTGCTGGGGTGAACACTGTGGGTAAACACTGTGGGTGAACCACTGCTGGGTGAAAACTGTGGGTGAACACTGCTGGGTTTGAACACTGCTGGGTAAACCACTGCTGGGTGACACTCGGGTGACCACTGCTGGGTGATCACTGCTGGGGGGCATGCTGGGTGAACACTGTTGGGTGAACACTGCCTGGTGAACACTGCTGGTGACCCTGCTGGGTGAACACTGCTGGGTGACCACTGCTGGGTGACCACTGCTGGGTGACCACTGCTGGGTGACCACTGCTGGGTGAACACTGCTGGGTGACCACTGCTGGGGTAAACCAATTTCTGGGTAAACACTGTTTGGGTGACCCACTGATGGGTGACCATGCGGGGTGGAACACTGCGGGGTGACACTGCTGGGGAACACTGCTGGGTAAACACTGCTGGGTAAACACTCTGTGGGTGACACTGCTGGGTGAAGCTGCTGGGTGAAACTGCTGGTTGAACCGCTGGGTGAACACTGCTGGGTGAACAATGCTGGGTGACACTGCTGGGGGAAACTGCTGGGAACATTGCTGGGAACACTGCTGGGAAAACACTGCTGGGTGAACACTGTAGTGACACTGCGGGGTGACACTACTGCTGGGGAAACACTGTGGGTGAAACCTCTGCTGGGTGAACCCCGCTGGGTGAACCCTGGGGGGGTTTGAACACTGCTGGGTGAACACTGCGGGGTGACCATGCTGGATGAACATGCTGGGTGACCACTGCTGGGTGGCCACTTGCTGGATGACACTGTGGATGAACATGCTGGGTAAACACTGCTGGGTAAACCATGCTGGGTAAACCATGCTGGGTGAGCACTGCTGGAGTGAACACTGCTGGGTAAACACTGTTGGGTGAACACTGCTGGGTGAACCCACTGCTGGGTGAACCACTGCTGGTGCCCTGTGGGTGAAACATGCGGGATGAACACTGCTGGGTGAACATGCGGGAGTGAACCTGCTGGGTGTACACTGCTGGTGAACCTGCTGGGTGAGCACGCTTGGTGAACACTGTGGGTGACCACTGCTGGGTGAACAAATGCTGGGTGAACACTGCTGGGTGAACCTGCTGAGGGAACCTGCTGGTAAACACTGCTGGGTGAACATGCTGGGTGAACACTGCTTGTGAACATTGCTTGGTGAACATGTGGGTGAACACTGCTGGGTAAACCACTGTGAGTGAAACTGTGGGTGAACACTGCTGGGGTGAACACTGTTGGGTGAACATTGCTGGGTGAACATGCGGGAGTGACACTGCGGGGTTTGAAACTGCTGAGTGAACACTGCTGGGTGGTGTAACACTTTTGGGTAAACACTGCTGGGTGACACGGGGGCTGAGGGTGAAACTGTTGGGTGAACACTGCTGGGTGAACACTGCTGGGTAAACCCTGTGGGTGAACATTTGTTTGGGTGAACATGCTGGGTTGAACACTGCTGGTGAAACACTGTGGGTGAACACTGCTGGGTGACCAATGCTGGGGGGACGCCGCTGGGTGAAACCGTGGTGAACATTGGGTGAACACTGCTGGGGAACATGCTGGGTGAACATGCTGGGTGAACACTGCGGGGTCGTTGGGAACACTGCTGGGTGAACACTCTGGGGTGAACACTGCTTTTGAAAACCGCTGCTGCTGGGTGACCGGGGCCAGTGGGTGAACATCGTGGGTGAACACTGTGGGGAATGTGACCTTGCTGGTGAACATGCTGGGTGAACACTGCTGGGTGGCCATGCGGGGTTGACACTGCTGGGTGAACACTGCTGGGTGAACACTGCTGGGTGACACTGCTGATTTGAACACTGCTGGGTGAACATGTTGATGAACACTGCTGTGGAACATGTTGGGTGAACGGAACCACTGCTGGGTAAAACATGCGGGGTGACCATTTGCGGGTAAACCAATGCTGGGGGAACACTGCTGGGAATGAAAATTGGGTTTGGAAATGTGAGGGGGACAATTTGTGGGAACCTGCTGTAGGGGAACACTGCGGGAGGGGTCCCCTTCTTATGCATGTTATGACCACTGCTGGGTGAACACTGTGGGTGAAACGTTTGGGTGAACACTGCGGGAGTAAAACCCTGCTTGGTAAAACCCCCAAACTGCTGGGTGAACACTGCTGGGTGAACACTGCTGGTAAACCATTGCTGGGTGAACACTGCTGGGTGAAACACTTGTGGTGACACTGCTGGTGAACACTGCTGGGTGAACATGCTGGGAAACACTGTTGGGGAACACTGCTGGGTGAACACTGCTGGGTGAACACTGTGGGGTGAAACACTGCTGGGTGAACACTGCTGGTGAACCACTGCTGGGGTGAACATGTGGAGTGAACACTGCTGGGTGAAACACTGCTGGTGTGAACACTGCTGGAGTTAACCTGCTGGGTGAACACTGTGGGTGAACACTGCTGGTGAACACTGCTGGTGCACTTGGGTGACACTTGGGGTGAACACTGCTGGGTGAAACATTGTGGGTGAACACTGTGGGTGAAAACTGGGGTTTGACACTGCTGGTGAACACTGCTGGGTGAACATTGCTGGGTGAACAATGCTGGGTGACCACTGCTGGTGAAAATGCTGGTGAACCTGCTGGGGGAACATGCTGGGTGACACTGCTGGGTAAACACTGCTGGGTGACACTGTGGGTGAACACTGCTGGGTGAACACTGTGGGTGACATGTGGGTGACCATGCTGGGTGAACACTGCTGGGTGACACTGCTGGGTGACATGCTGGGTGACCCTGCTGGAGTGAACACTGCTGGGTGAACACTGCTGGGTGACCACTGCTGGGTGACCACTGCTGGGTGACCACTGCTGGGTGAACACTGCTGGGTGACCACTGTTGGGTGACCACTGCTGGATGCACACTGCTGGATGCACACTGCTGGGTGAACACTGCTGGGTGAACACTGCTGGGTGACCACTGCTGGGTGACCACTGCTGGGTGACCACTGCTGGGTGAACGCTGCTGGGTGAGCACTGCTGGTGAACACTGCTGGGTGAACACTGCTGGGTGAACACTGCTGGGTGAACACTGCTGGGTGAACACTGCTGGGGGAACACTGCTGGGGGAACACTGCTGGGGGAACACTGCTGGGTAAACACTGCTGGGTGACCACTGCTAGATGCACACTGCTGGATGCACACTGCTGGGCGACCACTGCTGGGTGACCACTGCTGGGTGATCACTGCTGGGTGAACACTGCTGGGTGACCACTGCTGGGTGAACACTGCTGGGTGAACACTGCTGGGTGAACACTGCTGGGTGACCACTGCTGGGTGACCACTGCTGGATGCACACTGCTGGATGCACACTGCTGGGTGAACACTGCTGGGTGAACACTGCTGGGTGACCACTGCTGGGTGACCACTGCTGGGTGAACACTGCTGGGTGAGCACTGCTGGTGAACACTGCTGGGTGACCACTGCTGGGTGAACACTGCTAGGTGGCCACTGCTGGGTGAACAATGCTGAGTGAACACTGCTGGGTGACCACTGCTGGGTGAACACTGCTGGGTGAACACTGCTGCGTGAACACTGCTGGGTGAGCACCGCTGGATGAACACTGCTGTGTGAACACTGCTGGTTGAACACTGCTGGGTGAACACTGCTGGGTGAACGCCGCTGGGTGAACACCGCTGAGTGAACACTGCTGGGTGAACACTGCTGGGTGAACACTGCTGGGTGAACACTGCTGGGTGACCATTGCTAGGTGAACACTGCTGGGTGAACACTGCTGGGTGACCACTGCTGAGTGAACACTGCTGGGTGAACACTGCTGGGGTGAACACTGTTGGGTGAACACTGCTGGGTGAACACTGCTGGGTGACCACTGCTGGGTGAACACTGCTGGGTGAACACTGCTGGGTGAACACTGCTAGGTGATCACTT